TTGCACCTAAAGAGAACCAAGGGTTGTCCTAGGACTGAAATGATTCACAATGAGATGGATCAATCACAACGCCTGAGACGAGGGCCAAAGCGATGCTCTAAATGTAGACAACCTGGCCATGACAAAAGGCGTTGCCCAGGACAACCTATCCAGCAGGATGCGGAAATTAACTTGGACCAAGCTTGAATTGTGATCTATCTTAAATTGTCATCTAGTTGTAATGATGTTTAAGTTGTAAGCTTATTTAGTGATTGTAATGATGTTGGATTTTTCAACAATCTTGTTCAAAATGGTAGGTAGACTAAACATAGATCATTGATAACTCGAAGCCAAAACACAAGACCTGACTACAGAAAGACAACATGGATAGTTCATAGATCATGCAAGACGAAAACACAACAAGGAGACTAAAGAAAGACAACATGGATAGTTCATGGAATGACACAAAACTAAAATAAACACAGATAGCATGACAAGTTCACTGGTTTGCTTCATTTGGTTCCCCACCATTTTGTCCCCCTCCTCTCCCTCCTCCTCGTCCTCCACGGCGTCCCCGACCCCTTCTTCCGCCATCTCAAATGGTTTAGGGAATTCTGTTTCTTGAGTCGTACGAAGCTCTTGAAATTGTGGCATAGGCTTGCGTTTGCTCCTTCTTGGGTGCTCAACCGGAGGCACAATGCTCTCACCATCACAAAATGATGGGCGGGCCGGAGCAAGAAGTGGAGGATATGCTACGACATCCCTCCTTTGCTCTCGGTTACAACTCAAGAGGTTGTTCATAAGCCTTCGCAACCAAGAGGTCTTCCGCTCATCCATGGTGGGTGCACTCTCGACCATGTTCTTGTCGTGTTCCAAACCATCAACCTAAGCAATTTACGTAATAAATCCAAATTAATAATTAAACCTAACCGTGAAAAGAATTAGACTACGAGGGAGACTTGGGATGACTTAACAATGAACCCATCACAACACCTTGTTTTGACACTCATCTAAGCGTAAACTTGTGATACCACTGCATGTAGCCATCGTGGTACCCCATAGGTCTCGTCTCCGACATCCCTTGGACCACCCAATTTGCTCTATTCTCCCAAATGTTGATGCAGAACTGATGCTTGAGAAGCCAATCCTTTGCCGGTTGTTGGAGGTCGATGGCATGGAGCTTCCTCAAACCTTGAGGCGGGGTTTGTGGAATTGGTTGCTCCAATCGATATTGCCTCAATGATCGATCAGGTAGATGCCAACCCACGATGTGCCAGCAAATCAAGGGCACCTTGCACAACCACGTCTCATGATCCTGGGGATGTCTCAAATGATGCACTTCACGTGGATATGGCCCATGTAACCTATGCCCATTCATAATTTGCAATTAGCAACCAATTACATTAAAAAAAAATTTAATTTGTTAAAATATAGAATGGTCATGATTACCTGGTTCCACTAAGGCTTATCAAGCTCAGCACGATAAAACAGTAAAGAGTGCATAGGTTTGTGGTCGTTTGTATTTGCTCCACTTTGTAAGTAAAAATATGGATATAAGAATTTTTTAAAGCATTGAATAAATTTAAATTTAGGTTAAGTACGAAAAAAATTAATTTAAATCTATCTAAGCATTAAATAAATATTAATCTAGCTAAGTACGGAATAAATTTTATTTTAATCTAGCTAAGTATGGAATAAAATTAAATCTAGCTATGCATGGAATAAATTTTAAAGTAAATTACGCCAACCATTGAATAAATATAAATTAAATATTCTACATGTATGGAATAAACTTACTTGACACCATAGGGGGAATTTGGCACATTTCGTAGCTCCTCATCTTGACTCCAGAATGGACGCGGGTCTTGAGGTGCGAACATTGGAAGATGCTCCCATGCCCAGAGCTGGAGGATGAACATCGCACCACCAGCTTGTTTCGCTCCCACCTTCGAGCAAGTACACAGCTCCCTATATACGCCAGCTAACACGGTCGACCCCCAACTCTTTTCCCCCATCGCGTCCCAGTCACCAGTGAGCAATGGAAACCATATGCCTGGAATCCACCTGTTTTCCTTGTTTGGGAACAGAAATTCAACGACCAAACCAATGTGGTAGATGCGTGCGTAGCGCTCTACTTGATCTTCCGGAGTTTCTGGGCCTATTTGAACCTCATTTTGGATGTGGCAACGAGCCACGAGATCGACAATTGTCCCGCATTCAACGGTGGATGCCCCCGTCCTTGAACCGGTGTGATGGTCGGCATGTCAAAGCCCAAACGATCAAGAATGAGCGGCCCCCATCCTACATCGGGTTTGGTAGAGCTCCAGATGATGGCATCTCCAGTTATCGGCAGCCCGGTGAGGATCACAACGTCTTTGAGGGTGATCATCATTTCCACCCTCCGGAAGGTCGAACGTATGGGTTTCCGGGAGCCATCGCTCTGCCGTTGGCGTAAGCAGATCGTTATCAATTTCAATCCGCATGAAATGCCTAAACATACCCAACCAATCCTCTATATATACAGCGACAGGCGATCATGCAAGCGAGCAAGTTAGTGGTCACTCTATGAATGACGGGAATAAGTGATTCCTACAAAAAAAAACATCGATTTGTTAGTCAAGGAAAGCAGAATAAAACCTTAGAAAATAATGAAATAAAGTAAATTGTTTATAAGGTACGTAGTGTTTACCATATTGTTATCCCAAATTGCACGGGAACAATGTGCTTCTTGATCAGATAAATACTTCGTATCTCGTGGCCCATAATGGATAAACAATCGAGGATCGTATATCTCGGCACCCATCTATAAGAAAATTAATGAAATAAGATTGTTTTGATTAAACAGAAACAAAATCATATTTTTCGATTAAAAAAAATAAATCACAAAAGGAAAACCAAGAACCTACCAGAAGAGCCTCTTCGTCCATTTTTTGGCGGAAGCCGACAGAGGTTCGACGGACTTTTAGAGGGACGGGCTTTAGGGTATAACTCTAGTAATTCTTGTGATGTGGAAGATCGGACTTAGCCGCAACCACAAAGCATACTTAGAACGAAACTAGAGTGGATGAATGGAGGGAGAAAGAATTGATGTGTGATGGTATGATTTGAAAGAGGGGAGAATGGTTCTATTTATAGGGAAAGATGATTGCTGAAAATTATGCAGCACCATCACCGCGTTTGTTAGTGCCACTGAAAACCCTGCCTTATTTGAAAGCGGTGAAAGGAACGGATAGCTGACGTGGGAGGCTGTGTGGCGTCGCATCTGGGATGAAAACCAGAATCCGCAACTCACTGCATCCAACGGCAATGGTGAAGCATCCGTGCGACGCGGAACGCTGACATGGACAACAAGGAGTTCACCGCCTTGGTTTGGAGCGGTGAATAGCCCGCGCTCGTCCACGTCAAACATGTGTACTTTGGGAATTTTTTTTATAAATTACGTATTTTGGGAATTTTTTTAAGGGTTAATATTTTTGTATGGCCTGAAATTTGACCAAAATAAACATCCTGACCAATCTTTTCGATCTATAACATCCTGGCCCGAACTATACACAAAAATAAACAATTTGGTCAAACCTGATGTTTGACCGTTAACTTGGATGGTCAAACGCGTTGACTAACAGTCAACGAGCCACGTCACTGCCAAGTCAGAAGATCTGATAAATATTTAATTTTTTTTCGTTTTTTATTTTTGGTTTTGGTTTAACTAAGGTATTAGATGATTTTTTAATTTATAATAATTTAAAACTAGGGAATGTGTGGAAATTGTGAATTATTTTAAATATTTTATGATGACTTGGCAGTGACATGGCCCGTTGACTAACGGTCAACATGTTTGACCGTCCAAGTTAACAGTAAAAAGTCGGATCTGGCCAAATTGTTTATTTTTGTGTATAGTTCGGGCCGAGATGTAATAGATCGAAAAGATTGGCCAGGATGTTTATTTTGGTCAAAGTTCAGACCATACGAAAATATTAACTCTTTTTTTAATTACTCGTGTATACTGGGATTTTTTCCATATCTTTTGGATAATCTTACACTTGAGACCAAAGGAAGGAATATTGATTAGTTGGAGTTAGAAAATCATACTCTCTAGAGATGGTGCCTAGGCAACCGCTTTTGTTATGGAAGGGTAAAATAATCGTCGTTTTATAATTGGGCTTCCCATCCATTTCTGACTTTCAATCCACGAGTTTTTTTATTTCCATTGCTCGTACAAAGTGATATGCTAGGGTGTCTATGTCCTGGAAAACACCTAGGGAGTGTGCAACAGTTTAGTCTGGTTTGGACCAAACTCATGAGAACTATGTTCCAATAATGAAAGAAATCTCAGAACCAAGGACCATAACCGATATTGCATTCGGTCCGATTTTGTCCGGTCCGGTCCGGATATCATTTCGGTCCATTTTACTTTAGTATTTATAAACTTCATGTAACCAATGACTGGAACACATTAGATTCGGTTCGATATGATCCGGTCCAAAATCGATTCTAGTATGGGCCAACACGTTGCACACCCCTAAAACCACGAAAATACTACCTAAAAAGGTATCAAATGCATAAAACACCAAAAGGTACTAAATGCACTTAGAGCAAATATGCCTGTCATCAAAAGGTACTAATGATGTAATAAAAACCTATAATAGCCTGTCATCAAAGGTTAATGTACAACAAAAAGTTTGAATTTGTCAATTTTTTTTCTCTCGTTTAGCGAGAGTGTCTGATAGGAGTCTCTTTAGGTTTTTTGAGAGGTCTAGGGTTTTTCAGACGGCGGTGATTGGTATTGAGCTAATTATAAAGGTACTGGGGGTGAGTAGAGGGACAGAGTGAGTTAGTTTACAGCTGATCGGCATCCTGCGATCAGACTGACAGGTTTAGAGAGGGGTTGAGTGAGAGTTTCCTTTGGGTTCCCATAACTCGGAGGGTCTCGTCAAATCTTTTTCCTAAGCAAGCCTTCTGCGACTTAGGGGGTGAGGGTTTTCTGTAGTCTGAGAAGGTTCAGTTAAGAGTTTTGATCTCCAATGACAAGCAAAGAGAAGGATGTGGACGATGCAGATCTGGAGCAGGTGACAAAAGACAACAGAGGAGAAAATCTCAGTAGCACAGAAACAGAGGAAGATACAGAGCAATCGCGAATAATAATACGAAGTACAGTGATGGCGGAAGGACACACGAAGGTTTTGAAAATAGTGGATAAAGAGGCTTCTTTCTCGGAAGCCTTGGAGAACAAGATACAAAACATAAGTACGGGAATCAAGGGAATGTCTCATCTAGTACACCTACACCTACCACAGGCATTGAATCTGCACCTGCTACTGCAACACCTGCAGTTGCTACGCCAACAGATGGAGTTGGTGAGCCAAAGAAAAATGTGAAGGGACCGGGAAGGAAGAAGAGATCCCCGTTGCTCACTCGATCAATAACGGGACTAATGGTTTGAAGAACCATCACTTGGCATGCGAGAGAAAGAGGAAGGCAGCTAGTGGTCAATCACTATTGAATTATCAGCCTGGGGATGGTGAGGTAGGCTCTCTTACTCCATGGAAGTTTGATCAACAAAAAGCTAGAACTGCATTAGCTGTAATGATCATCTTGGATGAGCTGCCATTTCGCTTTGTTGAGCATGAAGGGTTTAAGAGATTTATGGCGGTAACCCAACCATTGTTTGTGATACCTGGAAGACAGACAATAAGGCATGATTGTTATATAATCTTTTTGGAGAAAAAAGAGTTGTTATCTGAGTTCTTCAAATCCAAGTGCAAAGGAAGAATTTCTATCACCACAGATACATGGACTTCTGATAACAACCAGAACTTCATGTGTGTAACTGCTCATTTCATTGGGAGTGACTGGAAGTTGCAGAAGAGGATCATTAGCTTTGTTCCCATCACTAGTCACAGTGGGAAGGATATTGCAGAAAAATTGGAAGAATGTCTACAAGATTGGAAAGCACAACATTTGTTCTCCATTACCATGGATAATGCTTCTTCTAATGATGTTCTTATAGAGTGTATTATAACAAAGATGAAAGAGTGGGGAACATATTTGCTTGGTGGGAAGTATTTGCAATTTCGATGTGTGGCACATATAATCAATTTGGTTGTGTCAGATGGGTTGAAGGAGGTTGGAGTTGCTGTAGAAAGGGTTCGAGATTGTGTGAAATGGGTGAAGTCATCACCAGGTAGAAGTGAAAAGTTCAAATCTGCCATTGAATATCTACAAATGGATGGAAGAAGACTTGTATATTTGGATGTTCCAATTAGGTGGAACTCAACTTATTTGATGTTGGAATCTGCTGAAAGGTTTGAGCTTGTTTTTAACTTCTTGCATGGGAACCCCAATGATTCTGCATTTCGGGATTCTGTGGACTCAAAGAGAGGTCCTCCAACTAAGGAAGATTGGAGCAGTATTCGGCGGCTAATGAAGTATTTGAAGTTCTTTTATGAGCTCACCTTACGGGTATCGGGTATGTGAACAGAACTCCACCTATTCAAATTCATGGTTTTTACTTTTATTAACTTGTAATATGTGAATAATTTGTTGTTATTTTTTGATGTATTAGAAACATCTTATGTGATTGCTCATACTTTCTTCAAATCTATTGCTGACATCTATGAAGTGATAGAACTTTTTAAGAAAGACATAGATGTAGAGATACAGTGGATGGCAGAAAGAATGGAGGCAAAGGTATGAAAGTATTGGTTTGAGAATGATGATGATGATGAGGTGGAGAACCTAAGGATAAATAGACTGGTTTACATGGCTTGTGTGCTAGATCCTAGGCGTAAATTGGCTTATTTGTCTTGGATGTGGGGTAAGATGTATGGGAAGAAGAAAGGAGATGATTTGGTGAAAGATGTGACTGCAGAGATGACTGCAATGTTTGAGGTTTACAGATTGAAGTATGCACCTCAACCCTCCGAGCCTACTGTTCAGGCCACTCCTAGTGTTGATGATGGATCTGCATCTTATGGAGGGACATTTGATGCTGAATTCAAGAAGATGAGAAATGAGCAACTTCAGATGGGGATTCGAGGTTTTTCTAAGCTAGACATCTACTTAAGAGATGCTAATGATGCTATTAACGAGGATGATAATGATATGAAGTTTGACATCTTGCCGTGGAGGAGTAAGAACGGCGTTAGATATCCTATTCTTTCCCAGATGGTTAAGGATATCCTAGCTGTTCCAGTCTCCTCTGTTGCCTCAGAGGCCGCTTTCAGTTGTGGAGGTCGAGTGCTCAGCCCGTTTAGGTCTTCGTTGAGCCCCATCATTGTAGAGGCCTTGATTTGTGCTGAAGATTGGATAAGGTTTGAAGGAGGGAAGAAAGCAGAAAAAAGTTGATGATAAAGAAGATGAAAATCAAGACCAAATCGATTATGAAAGTGGTAAGAAATAAGAATTCATAATTTAATTTATTTTCAAGTATTCCTTTACTCATTTCCCAATAATATATTATAAGATGAATTCTAACAATTTGTATTTTTTATTATACTTAGTAACTACTAACTTCCAAGCTCGAATGGAAAGTGCTATTGTCAATGTCATGCCAAGTGAAGGTGACAAACAAGGTTTACCTGTTGTGCTGGAGGAGGAGGAGAAAGATGAAGAGCATGAAGATTCAGATGAGGACGAGGAGGACCAAGATGAGGAGGATGATGGTGATGACACCCTTCGCACCACTTTGAAGCAACAAGGTTTTGTTGATGTTGGTGGTACAGTTCCTAGTGGCAAGTGTGGAACTAGTGATTCTATTTTTATCGTAATTTTTTAGAACTTAATTCAAACATTTAGAAGAAGCATGCCAGACTGCTACCTTTGGAATTATAGCTACGTAGTACTTACTACTATAAAACTATAATGCTATTTTTTATCTTCATTTTTTGGTATTTGCTATTCGAAATGCACTTGTTGGATTTCAGTTTTTTTTATCATTAGCCGACAAGCCAACAACCTGCATAGTATATTAGTACCCTACGTAGAGTGTAGACACGTCACTCACTAGTACCCTACATAGTATATTCAAAATGCACCTGTTGAATTCATGTTGGAATTATAGCTACATACTAGGACTCTACGTAGACACGTCACTCACCAAGAAAGAAGTGGGCAAGTCATATATAAATGGCCCTAGTTTAGTTTCCATTTTCCACTTTCCAGCTTTGCAGAGACGTGCAGACAAACGACACATGCATGAAATGATGATGTCTTCCGCGAATTCTGGAAACCGCTTCCCATACCGAGACCGTTCCAGTTCGGCTGGCAGTATACCGAATTACTACGGTATCGGCTAACGACGCAAGCCTCGGGGAATCTGGTATAACCGAAACGGGAAAAACGGTAACCAGTTAACACGTTGACCGTACCGTTTTCACCCCTAGTAATGGTGAAGGCAGTGAACCTGTTGGGATTGGTGGGACGATTGTTAGCGGATAAAAAACAAAATATCAAATTCATGAAGATAGCACTAACAAAGGCGTGGAATCTGAGACAAACCTTTCAGATTACTGAAAAGGGAGACCAACTGTATGGCTTCCGATTCCTTGACAAGCAAGATAGGGAGAAGGTGCTTCACGGGGGACCCTGGCATTATAACAACAACCTGATAATTTTTAAAGCTGCAGATGCTTTTCACAAGCCACTGAAGGAGGAGTTCTATACTATGGAAATCTGGATACAAATTTTTGGCTTACCAGCTGCTTTGAAGACATCTGAAATGGCACACAAAATCGCGGAGAAATTCGGCACCTTAATATGGGTGTACTCTCGAGTGGATACCGTAAGGGATGATTACCTGCGGATAAGAGTAGCCAAAGATATCAGAACACCTTTGAGACAGGAACTAAAGCTGAAGGTACAAGGCGAAATCATGATGTTTCTAGTGAAATATGAAAAGCTCCCACTATTTTGTTTTGCTTGCGGCCTGGTAGGCCACCCCAAAGCCTATTTCCCAACTAAAGGAACAGTGAAAAATGATAAGTTTGGCCCTGAGCTACGCTTGGGAGCACCCCGAGGTAGATCCTGGCAATCAAGGCAAGAAAAGGAGGAGACTGATGAACTGTGGATAGCCCTGAGAGCGAAACTTGATAGGGGAACAACAACTGAAAAGTTGAGGCTGGAGTCATTGAGACATCCAGAGGCAAGCTGGGAAAAGGCAGAGTCTCAAGTCAACCCTATCTATGAGATATAGAAGTACAAATGGAAAATGCAGTGGATATAAACTCCCAGGAAAGGAGGGAGAAGGGGGAGGAGGTAGTGGAAGCTAGGAGAGACAAGGTGGATGTGGGAGAGACAGGCATGGGTGGCATGGACAAGGATGAAATGGAGGGAAGTAATTTGCTAAGTTTCAACATGGGGACGGTCAACACAACACAAATCTGATCAAGGCAAAAGAAATGGAACAGGCAAACTCCTAAACAGGAAACTGGATCTAGCAAGCCCTCCTTGCAACTGACACCCCAGAAAAGAAGTTTAAAGGATGAGGAAGATGGAAGAAGGATGCAGGAATAGAGCCATATCACACTTTGGGCGAGGAGAGCAATAAACGCACAAAATATCATGAGAGCATGTAAGAGAAAAATACTCAGATGGAAGAAAGAGGGATGGGTAAAAATACCAGTAACAGTGGTTTTGTGATGAAGAGTAACACTATGGATGGCGAAAAGGGGGACCTTGTGAAAACACAAGGCCGCCCAGTCCAATGAGTCTTATAAGTTACAACTGTCGTGGGCTGGGAAAAACCACGACACTGAAGAGAGTAGCATAGCTACTTAGAGAGTAGGACCCCAATATTGTATTCCTAATGAAAACAAAGAAACAAAGAGCATGAGTGGGAAGCAACAATGGAAGCAATGGGATGGGAAAAGGGCAAAGGATTGGGCTCGAGGAATCGAGCAGGAGGCTTAATGCTAATGTGGAAAGATCATGTGAAGGTTACAGTCAAGGATTTTGAGGAAAACTATATTGATGTGGCAATTGATGAACAAAACTCAGGGAAGGCTTGGCGATTAACTGGCCTATATGGTTGGCCAGAACATGGAAACAAAAAGAAGACTTGGGATTTACTCAGGAGACTTAAGGGGCATAGTGATCTGCCATGGCTGGTGATGGGGGACTTTAACCAAGTGCTGGGCTATGAGGAAAAGAATGGTATGAGACTATCTGATGAGCAATGTATGGAAGGGTTCAGGGAGGTGCTAGACGATTGTGAACTGGAGGACTTGGGATATAATGGGAACATTTTTACATGGGACAATGGCAGGGAGGATGAGGATTTCCTAGAAGAAAGACTTGACCGCATGGTAGCTAATTCTTAGTGGAGGAGCAGATTTAAAGACGCTCAAGTATACCATCTCCCTAGATGGGTCTCGGACCA